TTTAAGTATGTATATTTGAGTTAAGAATAGAAAAGTGAATGAAACATGAAGAATTTAAGTTGTTATAGTGATTTTTTGGGCATGAACAGTGATTTTCTAGGCTTAAACGAAAATTTCAGATTGTGCAGGGGGTACAGATACCCCCTAAATGAAAAATGGAATTTTGGTTCATTAAACCGGCTTAAGTTATTAACATCAACTTTAAGGTTTAGGCTTCTGATAGCTGTTTTGAAATGTTATATTATGTAGATATTGAGCCTAAACAAGTTCTAGAATAATCAAAGGATTAAGATTGAATCAAAGCAAGGCTAAGGTGAGTGCAATTTAATTTGTGCTTATAGAACGAACATTGACTTGCGATGAGCTAGTGACGGAGTTACTATAGTAAGAAGTAACTCTTAAAATGTTATTGTATGCGACATAATTTACATGATTACATGTATACTTGATATGTTTGACATGTTGTTCTATGTGTTGTATGATAGATATATGTACATAAGTAAACAAGACATGACATATGTGCTTACATAAAAACATGAGAAATAAAATAAGCTATGTGATAAGGATATAGAGAAAGAAATGAATGACATGAAAATGTATGGATGCTTGATTATATGATTGGATATGTTCTTGTAAATGCTATGTGGCTTATATAAATAGAAAGGTGAATGATATAATAAGAAGCTGTGTGATAAAAGATATGGGTTTATGATAAAGGTGTATATGTGAAATAATATGAGAAGTGATAAAACCGTGAGCCCATATGAATATGTGATAAGAATGTGATGTATGTGATGTATGTGAATCATATGTGAACAAGATATGAAATACGTACATGGACAAATGAGAAATGATATATGTTATATGATATGAACCTATGTGACTACGTGAGAAAGAATATATGTCTCTGAGAAGGCATAAGAACAAAGTATAAGCTATGTGACATATGAATATGAATCATATGAAAATGTTCTATGTGTAAGTGAACTATGTGATGATATGATATGTGATAAATATGAAAAGTAATGCTCATGTTATGTGTCATGAGATCTAGAGGTATAGTTGGCATGCCAAGAGTAGAGGGTCTACGCGGTCCTTCGGGACAAATTCTACGTGGTCCTTCGGGACGTATATGTATTCTTTGGACCATGTATGAGGTCTTTTGAGACACTTACTTGATCCTTGGTATGTATATGATTCTTAAGGAATTTATATGTGGTCCTTATGGGCAATCTTATATGGCACTACGGTGCATTTCTACGAGGTCCTTCGGGACAAATTCTACGTGGCACTTCGGTGCAAATTTATACGAGCTGTGGTGACAGCATAGTGCACAACCTCACAGTACTCACATACCTTCAGTTCTCACCAGTATACCATGGGCTAATAAAGAGACAATAACAAATACAACATATAAGATGCATATGCTTGTGGTGATATGAAATGTATTGCATGAATTATATGATGCTATGTGTGTTTCTTTGTGAAATATATGTGTTCTATGATATGTATAGAAATGTTCAACATATGATTATATGATCACAAGGAATTAGTAACAATAATATGAGTATTGAGAAGCATGTTAATGATTTATGTTTTATATGATATGATAGTATTTGCATATGTATACCTTTTGTTTATATAAATGATATATGGTTATAGTTTATATTTTATATGCCTTACTAAGTCATCGATTTAGCGTGTGATTGTTTCACGCGTAGGTTCCGAGAAGAGGAAGATTGATAAAAGTTATGCAAGACATGTCAGTTCCTCCTTTCCAAATGTCAGATCAGAAAAGAAATGTATAGTATGTATTTTGTAATGAGGATAGTGGTTGGCATGTAAATAAAGGATTAAATCCGATATGTTCTAATTGGTTTTGTAAAATCATATGATTGAATTTTGGTAATGTTTTAAACGTATATTTGTAAACGATAATTGAAAGATGATGAACGTTTTCAATTTTATGAATTTATACATATTTTACGAAGTACTGTAGCAGTATTGTAGCAGGGTATCGGTACCCTATTTGTAATCTGGAAAATTTTAACATTCGAGTATTGTAGCAGATATTGTTCATGGTACTGTTTATCACTGTTCATACGGTACTGTTCATACCGTATTTTACTGTTCATAAATACATTTTTGACTAAAAAATTTTATAACAAACACAATTCAACATATATGATCGATTTTCTTAAAATGAGTTCAAATGTTTTGATATTTGGTAAAAATATCGTTTTTAAAAGTCAATGTGACATATCGGACTCGTATTCGGGTCGGGTACGGGTTGGGGTGTACAATTGCTTAATAATTGAATAAAAAACTTCAAACATTTTTACCACTGCTGGTAGACATTTTTAATTAAAATTTAGATTTATATCGTATTTGATCTCTAGAATCGAATGAAAGTTCAAAAGAACATGTGAAATTGGCGTCTTATGTAGACTTTTACCACTGCCGGTATGACATTTACTAAAAGTAATTTAATTAATTAAATTTTAATTATCTAAAAAGAATATAAAAATTTTAAATAGAAATTAAATTTTAAAAAGTTTTGATTAGTTGTCTTCAAATTATGCAGTCAGATACCGCCTAAGAATTCTTTATTGGCGACGGAGACATCCTTGAGAGGTGGATGATGATTCGGAGTGGGAATTTGTTTGGTTTTCTTTAAATTATTTAAGTTTCTTCAATGATTTTGTTACAAAAAGAAGCTAACAATGAAAATTTATTATAAATTTGCTATGGAAAGACGTAGCAATTTCCAGTTTCTAAGCCAAAACGGGAAGTTCTACAGTGCGGCACCCTTACTTGGCGTTTGGTTCGTTGAAATGTTTCTGAGGAAATTGAAATCTGTGAAGGAATTAGAATCTAAATCTGAAACATGTTTGGTTGGCAGAAAATTGAATTAAAATCTAATTCCATATTATGTTTGGTTCACAGATATGTCAGATGAATTTGATTTCAGTATTATAAAATGACAGAATTACCTTTTTTTTGCTTAATTTTAGTTTGTTTTATAACTTACATGTAACAATATATTATAAAAATATTAAAATTTCATTTTATTAATTGATTATTCATTTCAATAAATTATAAAAATCATATTAATAAACATCATAAGTTAAAATCATCCCAATTAGGGATAGTCATGGGTCAGGTTAGGGCGGGTTTTTGGTCCACCTGACCCGACCCGAGAACAAGGGAACATCCACCCGAAACCCGACTCGACCCGATCAAAATATAGTTTCACCCGACCCGACCGAATATATGAATTAGAAACAGGATCCGACCCGAAATAATAAAAAAATATTTTTATTCAATAAAAACAGTGACTTAATTGGAAAAAATTTATATATAGAGAGATATTATTATAATTATTCCTAAATATATAAGGTAAAATTATATATTTTTTTCGGGTTGAGTATTTTCACCCTAAACCCGACCCCCCGAATATCACAATTAAAAAACCCGACCCGACCCGAATATCACACTTAAAAAAACCTGACCTGAATATCACACTTAAAAAAACCCGACCCGACCCGAATATCAAACTTAAAAAACCCGACCTGACCTAAACTCGATTTTTTAAAAAAAAATCCGAACCCGACCTGAATATCACACTTTAAAAAACCTGACCCGAATGTCAAACTTAAAAAAACCCGACCCGAACCCGGAATTTTTTTAAAAAAATCCGACTCGATCCCGAATTTTTTTAAAAAAATTCGACCCGAATACCAAAAGATTGATGAGGGTAGTATGGTCAAATTTCACATTCCCTCCTCCAAAGGATTTCAATTCCTTCATGTTATTGATGAAATTTACTTTCCCTCCCTCGATAGAATTGGATTCCAATTACCCCTTTGAAAACTTGAACCAAACATGGGAAAGTGGTGGAATTGGATTCCAATTCTCTTAATTCCAAGGGATTCCAGCGAACCAAACGCAACCTTAATATATAACAAAAAAGATGTTATCGGTTTTGTTATTTAAATAATAAAATCGATAACACTTTTTTTAGTTATATATTAAGATAGTTGCAGTGATCATTAGGGCTGAGCAACGAAACCAAGAAAACCTAAAAACCGACACGATTCGAGTAAAATGGTTTGGTTCGGGTTTACCTTTAAACGGTTCGGTTTCGGGTTGATTTAAAGAATCAATTCTATTGATTCAGTTCGGTTCGGTTTGGGTTTTACATATGGAACCCATTTGTTCCATATTGAACCAAATATACATTTTTTTTTGAATTTATAGTTTCAATTGAATTTTTCATTGAAAAACCGACGAACCGAACAGAAAAAATCACATTATCGAATCGAATTAAAAAAATTGATTTCACAAAATTTGGTTTCAGTTTAAATTTTAAAAAATCGTTTATTTCGATTCGATTCAATTTTTAGTAAAAAACCGAACCTAACGAAATACATCACTAGTGATCATTTCCCAGCCAAAGCAGTCCAAGTAAAAGGTAAAGTCATAATTGGCCTACAAAAAGAAAACTGGCCAAGCGTTATAGAGGGAGGAGTGGACCACGCCCATCCCCAGACATATTTTATTTATTTCCTTAGAATAGATTATTCATTGTGGAAAAAGATGGAAGCTGTAATTTTAAATTATTAGATTAACCGGCTAATTGAGCGACTTTGTTGCTTCCCGTCATCCAAAATTAGGCATTTTCTTTATTCATGTGTATTTTATAAACACAATTTATGAATATGACACATGTACTTAAAGGTAATCAAACTTATTGGTTTCAATAACAGAAAAATAACATATTCCGCAACTGTATCTATAAGCTATATGTGCATTATCAATAAATTAAAAAATTTAAATCTTATAATTATCTCATATCTCAATTATTGAAAGAAAAAAATTTAAGCCTGACTTAATTCAAGCCCATAATAACAAGCAAGCATGGTAAAAGATGCATTGGGCTGGAAAATAATTCGAGCTTTAAGTTAAGGCAGCCAGCATTTGGACAATGTGAACTTCATCCATTTAACTACATGGTGAAAAAGAGAAGAATAGAAGATCAGTTGAGATTAACTTTTGCAGGCAAACGTATTCCAGGAGCTTCTTCCTTCACAACACCACCTTCACATGCAACCAGTTTCACAACAGATTGAGGAGTGAGATTGTACTTTTGCCCAGCCTCAGCCAAGCTTCCTCCAACCACTTTTGAAATCCAATCTTCTAAAGCTTCCTTCTTGCCTGAAAACCAGGCAGCAGCAAGTATTTGTACCATTGCTTCTTCGTCAATCTCCATCACAAACTCCGTTCCAATCGTTCTTTGACATTTTGAGCTTATTTCCTTCACAATTTTATTGGCAAGTCCATCGAAATCAAATGGCTTGAAATGTATCTTTTTATACACTTGGCTAAAGAATTCTTCCAACCAACATTCTGAGCTTTCAGACTGACTCACTCTTCGACTGCCCCAAACCGGGGTCATCGTCATCTCCCACATCCACGGGGAAATTTAAGTCCAGACAAGATCTAGGCACTTTATGTTCCTGTTCTTCTGCAACCTCGGATGACTCGGCAGTGTTGATCAGCTTTTTTTATTGTAGTAACCCTGACGCCTGTATCGTTGCTTTTGTTTGCATCATCAGAAACAGAGCCAACTAGGATTTGCATTTGCCAGTTTTTGGCTCCAAGTATTCTTTCCTCCGGGAATTTCATGTCTTTATTCTCACAGATAACGTTTGTATTACCTTTTGTGATGGCTGACGTTGTTATAAGAACCATATTGTTGATGCTTATTTCTCTCCCACAAGAATCCAGAATTACCCGTTCTAATAGCCACGTCCAAACTATGCTGGACCCCATAATCAGCCTTGTCAACGTTTTCAAGGAAAACAATGGAATGGGGTTTCTTTCTTAGCTCCTCGGCAATCAAGTCCGACATAATTTTCCCTCTAGACATCACATCATAACCATTCAACCCTTGCATTCAAAGATCGAGTTTGAGTGGCCTACTTCGTCTCGCGAGATCAAATCCACAGAAACTAAGCATTCCTGGCTGCCAAATAGTGCCTCACCAAGCGCTGAAGCAATTCTTATTTTTCCAATTCTGTCCGGCCCAGGAAAGTAAGCCAATTATCCCTTTACAATTTATGGCACGAGAGCTTCGATTCCTGTGTCTTAATTGGGATGCAGCTTGGCTGACAGAATTGATAGCTTCATCTTGCCAGCCAACTTTTTCGGCAAGAGCTTTCCTAATGGACTTGTAATCTCCCAGATCAAACTGCTCTCCTGGTGTAGGACCGGAGCATGACAAAGATTGGGCAAACTGATATGAAGTAGTCTCGCTATTTGAATCAAATTTAGCAGACACAGAACCTGAGAAGTGATGAAGATGTTCTTCGTGATTTAGCAATTTTGTGGTGTTCGATTCCTGTCTGGTTGATTCATATATTGTTCCCAACTCTATATCCGTGGTTACCGGAGGATCATATGAAGATGGTGTGCGTCCAGAACAAGAGCTCAGACTTTGCTGAGGGTGATGGAACCAGAGCACACCTTTATCAGTTTGCTGAGCTAAGCTTGGGACATCCACATGCAACTCGGAGTGAAAATTTATATTCATACCTTCCAAAGTACATGATATCGATGCAGCAGTTTTTGGTAGAAAAGTTTTTTGCGTGTGAACTTGTCTGCTGGGACTTTGATTGGGAAATAGACTTTCATTGATAGACAGGTCATCCCTACTTCTTTGCTTCGTGTCTGGAACACGAGACATGTAGGGGTTAATACCAAACTTGGGGAATGTTGGAGTGTGGTGGAGACGTCGGCAAATATCATTCCATTTTTCCTGCAACCCCAAAACTTTAGCAGTCAACATGGATTCACCACCATTAGTCTGCACTGAACGATTACAGAAGTCCTTAAAATACAATATGATTTTTCAATGAAATACAGCATATGACCAGTGCTAACTGCAAACTCACCTTTGCCGCATCCTCTCCTTCGCTTGTGTCAACAGCTGCCATCGATAACCAAGAAGGCAAGTTCTCTGAATACTGATTAGCATCTGAAAGAGTCGACCCTGCCTTCATAACGGCATCAACTTCTTGTTCATACTTGTCATTGCAAAGCTTACATCGAGGAATAGATTGATTTCTGCCACTTAAAGGACTCTTAAAATCTGATGGTGTAGGAAATAAGCCACCAAATGGAACAACTGACCTCATCAAGCTGTAAGAATACCATGAGCAAGCAGGGCGGTCCTGAGTACTTTTAGGCTCGGGAGAGAAAATTAAAAAAATAGGCTCCTAATATAAAAAATTAAAAAAATATAATATAAATATTTTATTAGATTTTTTTTAAATTAAAAAATAGTAATTCATTACAATATAAAAGATGTCAAAAAATATTTAAGATTCAAATACTTATAAAAAATATTACATTCGAATATTTTAATGTAAAACCATTGATGATAGTGTCAACATCAATTCTTTCAACATATTTTTCTCGATATATAACATAGCATTTGAAAATGAAAGAACGATCTTTTATAGAATTGGAAAATATATAAAATTAAAAGAAATTTTTTGAAAACATGATATGAAAAATTGGGTAAGAGATTGGTGAATTGATAGTGGGAATTTGGAAAGACCAAATTAAAGAGTCGATTGATTTTTTTTTGAATTTTGAGAAAGAAATATTAAAGAATTTTATGGAAGAATAATTTATTAATGTTAATATAAAATTCAATAAAGATAATTGATACCTTAATAATTCATGGGCCCTATTATTATTGAGTAAATTATCAATTTTGATTTGTTTTAATATCTAAACTTTTAATTTTTTCAAAATATATGTAAAATTTAGTTTTTGTTTCATTTTAGTACCCACCTTTAAAAACTTTAGTTTTTTTTTTTTTATTTTAGTATCCATTCAAAATTTAACATTAAGTTTTAATTTTTTTTTTGAAATTTTAGGTATGTAAACAAACCAAAACTGATAGTTATGTACTAAATGCGTTAAGTTTTTAACGATGAGTACTAAAATGAAATGAAAACTAAAGGTTAGATATGATTTTGAAAAAAAATTAAAAATTTAAGTACTAAAATGGATCAAAACTGATAATATAGATACTAAATACATAGATTACTCTATTTTATTTTACAATCTTTTAATTTATTATCAGAAAAAAAAATTATATTAAAAAAAATTATTTTGGTGGCCCTCGGCGGGTGCCCTCCTGCCCTGACCCAGGGCCGGCCCTGTGAGCAAGGAACTGTGAGATCCAATAAGTGGAAAACTGTTGGGAAGCTCAAATGCACAGGCAATAATATATCGACAACTATGTTTCTCCCTTGGGATAAATGAGAAATTCATTCATCCAATACGATGCAGGCATAAATACAGTTTCTCCATATCTTCAACTGACACCTGCAACTCCAAATTAAAAGGCTACAAGACATCCCATCCCCCCTGATACCCTGAATCTGATATGGCTCAAATATTTATTTTTGATATTAAACAAACCTCTTATTCTGATGAAATGGGAGCCGAATCTTCATAAACATAGTTTTGATCTTTCTAGTATTCCTATTTGGGTCCATCTTTATAACATTCCTCTAGAGTTTTATTCTCGAATTGGTCTCAGCTTCGTGCCATTGAACCCATCTCTCTATGGACATTGTTACTGCATGACAACTGTCGTTTTGGATGTCAAATAAATTCCTTTTCTCAATTAAATAAGTAAGAAAATACGTAGTAAAGAGAAGTAAGGGTCGAATCCACAGGGACTTAGAAAATCACAAATTAATGTTTGAATGGTTTTAACCAAGCGAAAAATAGTAAAATGGGGGTTTGGTAAAATGAAAATAAAATGGTAAAAATAAATAAAAACAATTTAAATAAAAAAATAAGAGAATAAAGTTTGTGAATAAATACGGTGAAAATAGCCTCGAGCTTCGCTTTGACTCAATTTCTTTTAGATCATCGAATAAGATTTTCTCTTCGGGATTCACGTCGGTTACTTTATCTACAAGGGCTATCCCCATGACTATATCTTGTATACCGAATACCCAAGGCAATCTTTGATTCCGGCTTCGGTAATTGATTCTAACAACATCAATTGTCGTAGATCAATTATCGTTTAAGTTTGTGGCGTCCGACTCGGATTGTTGCTTCAATAACCGTTAATTCTGATCTCAATTCCCTCTTGGCGAAGCTATCTCGCCAAGTGTGTTCCCAGGAAGTCAAATTGCTTTCTATAAGCCGAATCTTCCTCCCACACATTTAATCGTAACAACCTCTTGACCAAAGTCGATCTTTGATTTTGAAAACTGTTTTGATTTTGAAAAATAAGCGCAGAGATTGAGAGAGATATTCCGAAGATATTAAGGGCCTGTTTCAATTCTCTCGATGGATTGAGTCATCGCGATACTCTCGGCTTATGAAAAATTTAGCTAAGCATGACAAAAGTCATACTTAGCATTTGAAAACAAAACTTGGAAAATAATAGAAAAATGAAAAGAACTTGAAAAATAAAAAGAGAAAACTTTTATAAAAACTAGAGAGAAAAGAAGATTGTAATTTGAGTGATGAGTTTAGACTTACCCCAAGTGGGTATTTATAGCCTCTCAAAGCCTAAAGGATAAATAAAGAAAATAATCCTAAAGATAATTTTTTTTAATTTAAATTTAAACTTAAATTAGTCTTCTAATACAACTCTGCTCGTCCATCTTCCAGAAGGCGTGCGGAGAAAGTCTTCTAGAAATCGTCACTGACTAGACCTTCTAGAAACCTCCACGTCAGACCGCGTCGTGCCCAGAGTCGTGCCCATGTCTCCAGCCATGACCAATATAAAAAAAATACAAAATGCGCCCGTTTTGTCACTAATTCTGGAAAGTAAGGACCTGCACGAAACAAACATAACATGGCCAATTTAGTAGTAATAATTCCTCAAAACCGAAGAAATAACGAGAAAAGATTAACGATTCTGAACACTCATCTATGTAGCTAAATCGCAGACTATGCTAAACTTTGTATTGAAATATGGATTAACGACAAAATTCCTAAAACTGTTGAAATGGTACTAACTGAGGGAAAACAATATCGATTGTTGTAGAGGTGCCTTAGATGCCAACAAGGTACACAACTGTAAATCCTTTGGTCACAATGAGAAGGTATGTTCCTCTAAGGCCCCAATTCCTGTTAATACTCAAGTCTGGAGGAAAAATGATCTAATTTCAATGTTGTAGAAGGTGAGTCCTCTGTATGAGGAATTTAGCGTCTTCAAGATAATACAGCTTCCCCTCTATATCAGTTAATGAAAATAGTAAGAACGAAGTTGACTGTGGTAATTCTTCTATTGACAAAGTAGGGGAACAACATATTAATTCAATAACTGTTGTGATCGACTTTGGAGCGTGAGGAAAATCAGGAACGCTCTACTAAAGATCCTTCTAACCCTGATTCTAATAAAACTTCCTTAAAAGCAAAGATGAATCTTCTTCTTTTATCCCTAAAAGAGGAAGAGAAGACCAGCTAAATTCAAATCATTTTCGGATTCCCCAGGCTATCTAATACATTTCAGGCTCTTCAAGATGTTGAGGAAATCCTTACTGCTCCTGTTGACATTAAAAGGAAACCTCGTCAATCTTCATTAGGTGTGGTTGTCCTAGTCAAAGACCTTAAATAAAAAAAAGAAAAAATTGATAAGGCAAAGTCAAATGTAGTTGAGGGTAGAGGGGGAACTTCTGACTTCCTTTCTCAATGATCTTAGCATTTTGGAATGTTAGAGGACTTAATTTTCCTCTCAAACAAGATAGGGTTTTAAGAAGAGCTTATCAATTAAAAGTGGATATTTTTTGCTTACTTGAGACTAGAGTGAAAGCTGATAAGTCTGCTGCCTTTTTTGGCACTAAGTTCGCTGACTAGTCCATTCGAATTATAATTTTGCTCTAATGGAAGGATATGGATCATTTGGAAAAAATCTTATCTTCTCTATTCATACCTCTGACCAGTGTATTTCTATTCAAGGGCTTTACCAAAGTATCCCTTTTGTTATCTCAGTAGTCTATGGGAGTAACAATGACACTACTAGAAGACTCATATGGTAGCACCTTCATGATCTTGAAGCTAACATAGGTCACCTCCCATGGATTCTTGGAGGTGACTTTAACATCATTCTCCATTCTAACGAAATTTCTGACAATGACCTCCTAGGCCCTTTGACTACCTCAAATGAGAGATTTCCAGAATGTCCTCCAAGACCTTGAACTATTTAACCATCCTTTCTTTGGTCCATCTTTTACCTGGAGCAACAAGCAGCAGAGTTCTTTCTTGCTAGGAAACTTGATAGAGTTCTAATCAACTATACTTGGGTGAGCTCTTTCAAAGATTCTCATGTTGAGTTCCTTGTACCTGGGATTTTTTACCACTGTTGCTCAAGTTTGGCTCAAAAATGAACTGCAAGTTAATAAGCAAAGCCTTTTAAGTTTTTTAACTACTGAACCCAACACCCTAATTTTTATGATGTGGTTAAACAATGGTCAAAACATGCCCCTGGAATCCTATGCAGATTCTTTTACCAAGCTAAAGGTTTGAAAATCAGATTGAAGGCTTTTAATCATCTTGTTATAGTGACCTCTCTGCTAGGGTGAACAAATTGAAAGCCGATCTGAATTGCAACAACTTAAAACCCTTACAGTAGAGGATTCTTTTGACAAGGAGTTGCTTATTCAAACGAATTGAAAATATTTGAAGAAGCTGAAGCTTTATTTTTCAGACAAAAGCTAAATTCCAATGGTTAAAAGAGGGAGATAAATGTACTAGATTCTTTCACTCAGCTGTAGCCCTCAAAAACAAAAGGACACAATTAGAATTCTCATTGATGAGAAGGTAATCGGCTGGAAACTTATGATCTTATGTCTGCTGAGGTTATTAATTTTTATTCAATCTGCTAGGCTCGGTTGATTCTGCTGTTAAGGTTATTGACCCTAATCTCTGAATAACTTAATCAATTACTCTTTGCCTACTGATAAATCTGCTGCTTTGGAAGGATGTCTCAAAGGAAGAAATCAAAGAGGCTTTTTTCTGTCAAGGGAACGAAAAATCTCCAAGACCTGGATTTATCCCTTTTTCTTAAAATCTTCCCAGGCCTATCATTGAAAGTGTGTTATAGCTGCCATTTCTCAATTTTTTACTGATTCTTTTTTTCTTCATTCTTTCAATGCCACAGTTATTGCCTTGGTCCCAAAGGTCCATAATCCTAGTAAGGTTAAGGATTTCATACCGATTTCATGTTGTTTAGTGGTCTATAAAGCTATATCTAATATTCTTGTAAGAAGATTGACTTACCTTCTGCCTGACATGGTTACTCTAAATCAAACAGATTTGTTAAAGGTAGAAACATCATCGATAATACCCTTCTTGCTCAGGAGCTGGTTAGAGGTTACAGTAGGAAAAACTTATCTCCAAGATGCTCTTTAAAGATTGATCTTCACAAGGCATTTGATTCCCTCAATTGGAATTTTATTTTAGCCATCTTGAAAGCTATTGGTCTTCCTTTATCTTTTGTTTCTTGGCTTGAAACTTGTTTCACCACTGCTAGCTATCTATTTCCTTTAATGAGAGTTTGTCTGGCTACTTTAGGGTGTTAAAGGACTAAGACAAAGAGACCCTCTCTCCTTTACTCTTTATCATTTCCATGAACGTTCTTTCTAAACTTCTCAACTTAGCAGCAACCAAAGGAATTTTTGGCTTCCATCCCAAGTGTAAAAGAATTGGTTTGACTCACTTGTCCTTTGCTGACGATCTCCTTATTTTTGCAAAGGAATTGTGGAATTTGTAATTGGTGTCTCTAGTGTGCTTGACTATTCTATGAGATGACTGGTCTCAAACTCAACGCTTCTAAAAGTGAAGTATTACTGCTGTGATGTCCACTGTTACAAAAGATAACATTACACAGATTTCTGGCTTTAATTGGCTCCCTTCTTGTAAGATATCTATGCATCCCACTGTCCACTAGAAAAATTACTGATAAGGACTGTGACCCTTATTGACAATATCAAATCTAGATTGCATCACTGGTCTACAAAACTCCTGAGCTACGCTGGCAGACTGGAACTAATTAGAACTGTGCTCATATCTATTTCAAATTTCTGGTGCAGGCAGCTCTTCATGCCTAATTCGGTTCTGGCTAAGATCGAGCAGTTTTTCTCTCGTTTTTTTTGGAAAGGGTCAGACAAAGCAGCCATAGGTGTGCTAGAGTAAGCTGGACCAAACATGTTTGCTTGAAATATGAAGGCAGGCTGGAATTAAAAAAATGAAGACTTGGAATAAATCTTGCATGATGTTTATCAAGAAAATCCTTGCAGGACAATGATCTCTTGGGTTGCTTGGCTCAACTCTTATGTATTTAAGGATAAGGACTTCTGGTCTGGAGATGTTAATACCAGCTGGTGCTTGAAGAGGCTTCTAAAATTGCGACCAGAGGTGCACCATTTGCTGACTTCAGGAGTTGCTACTGCCAGTACCATCTGTGACTCAATCCGAGAAAAGAGACCTATGGTCCCTTGGCAGAAATTGTTATGGTTTCTATTGGATATCCCAAAATTTAGTCTTATTACATGGATGGCTTTTCTGGACAAACTTCCTACCAAGGTTAGATTACAACGTATGGGAGTGATTAAGATTCTCATGTGTTTTATGTACTGTTGAACCGGAATCCAGAGACTATCTTCCTTCATTGTCCTACTGTCGCTTCCCTTTGGGAGTTATTTCTCTTTATTTGGTCTGAATTTAATGTCTGCTCTTGGATTTTTCTTAACACGAGCTAGCTACATCTGGAAAGGCAAATCCTTGCTATCTTTGGTTATGAAGCTGGCCATGAACGCCTAGTGTATTTGCTTTGGGAGGAAGGAACAAACGATTATTCCAAGGTCGATCTAGGTCTGTTGAAGACTTACTTAAGGCTATTAAAGATATTGTTAGTCTTCACTTAAGGGGTAAGATTTACCTTTTTCTTTAGCACTCCATAAATGCCCTCAATGCTTCCACAGCACAAAACCCAAAAAGCAATGGACTTTTCCCGCTCTTTTTAGCCATGACTTCACTGATTCTCTTACAATTCTCATCACCCCATCATCTTGCCCCGGTAACATTATGTTAGACGATCCGACCAGATACTGAATATGCTAAATTACAGAGAATATAGGGGGCAATAGGCACACGTGAAAACCGAGAAGAAAACTTGAGTTACCGTCGGGCGAACTGTTGCTAACTTTATGTCACAGCTCCGAAACCCAGCTTCCCCAAAAATTTGACTAACAATCGGATCATCGAGAATTGATAAAATGAAGTATTTAAGCTCAACCTTCAAAATTGACTGCGTTGGGAACAACCGGTGGCGTTGGCGTTATTGTTATTGTTACTGTGTAACTGTTGTAAATGATAACTTTCTGGATTACGCCGTTGACTGGCTTGCGACATTTTGATTGCCGCCATCAGTGAGTTTGAGATCGGAGGATCCTCCGCGGACTTGGATTGCGCCGTTTGACGCTCTGCTACGTGCTCGTGTACATGCATTTCGGAGAGTGGATGAAGGTAAGGAAAGCAGCGCCGACACCCTCGTGGAGTGATGGTCGTTTGTGTATGGCTCCTTCGACGTGCTACGTGTTGGGGAAAATGGGTTATTTCCCACACAAACGTAGTTTTAAAATTGACCTAAAATGTCAAGATTAAAACCACCAAAGATTGCACAGCGGATAAACCTGTCAAACTTGAATATTGAAACACAATAGAAAGACCGAATAAAAAACAATAAAGGAGAGAACACACCAAATTTACGAGGTTCGACGAGAATATCGTCTACTCCTCGGGCACCACACCGGATGATAACTTCACTATATCGCCAATATTACAACAAATGGAATTCTTTGGAATTCCCAAAGTGGGAGAATGGAGAATATAAGGAAGAGAGAACTTGTTTTTGGGATGATTTATAATGGAAATACTTAGGCCTATTTATAGTTGAGTTTCAAGAACAATATGTTCAAAGTTTGGCCACCTACCAAAGAATTTTCCAATGTGTACAAGTTAGCCACTAAATATGAAATTCGCATGTTCAAAGTTTGGCCACCAACCAGATGAAATTTCCAAAGTGGCCACCAACCAAGATGAAATTTCCAACTTGTCAACTTAATTTCTAGACAATCTCCACCTTGGCTTGAATTACCAAGCCTACTCAACTTCTTCACTCCCCAAATTTGTAGTGCCTCTAATTGCGCTCACAGCGCCACACACCCGAAGATGTTCATACTTTCAGGATGTTAATTAAGTTCAAACAATGATTGAACTTGATTACTGTTACCACCTTGGTCATCAATCTGCAGGATTTTCTGATGTCGCAATTTTCTGAAGTATAATCTTTCCTTCTTCAAAGATCTCCCGCACAAAGTGATACCTCACGTCGATAGCTTAGTCTTGAATGGTAGACTTATTTCGCTAAGTGAATAGCGCTCTTACTGTCACAATAGGACTAATGTGATTTGAACAACTCCCAAGTCTTCCATCAACCCGTTAAGCCATATTGCTTCCTTTAGCTCTAAAACTGCCATGTATTCTGCCTCTGTAGTAGACAAGGCCATCGTAGATTGCAATGTAGACTTCCAACTTACTGGGGCTTTAGCAAGAGTAAACAAATACCCAGTAGTTGATCGACGCTTATCCAAATCACCACATAATCAGAATCAATATTCCAACCATACACTGACCAGTGTTTCATCTGTTCAAAAACTAAACCAACATCCACGGTTTATTGGAGACACCGTAGAATCCATTCACAGCTTGCCAATGTCCTTTCCAGGATCATGCATGTACCTGCTCACAACTCCAACTGCTTGTGAAATGTCAGGACGCGTACACACCATTGCATACATCAAGCTCCCACTGCATTAGCATATGGAACTTTTCCATATACACTCGTTCTTCGTTAGTTTTAGGAGATAATTGAGAACTAAGTTTCAAATGAGAAGCCAATGGGATACTTACATGTTTGGTATTTCATTCATGCCAAACATTGTAATACCTTTCTCAGATACTGCTTCTGTGTTAAACAAAGCTTCCCTCTCTGTCTATCTCTGCTTATCTCCATACCAAGAATCTTCTTGGCCTCACCTAGATCTTTCATCTCAAACTCTTGATTCAACTGAGCCTTTAATTTATCTATCTCCTTTGACTCTTCGAAACGATCAACATATCGTCAACGTACAAGAGAAGATAAATGAAAGATCCATCTTTGAGCTTTTTCAAATATACACAATGATCATATTTGCTTCTAGTATACTTTTGCCTCCTCATAAAGCTATCAAATCGTGTACCACTGCCTCAGAGATTACTTCAATCCATATAGCGATTTGTTCAGCTTACAAACCCATTTCTCACAACCACCATCTTTGTATCCTTCTGCTGTGTCATATAGATCTCCTTTTCTAAATCACCGTGCAAGAAAGCCGTCTTTACATCAAGTTGAGCTAGCTCCAAATTCAACTGTGCTACCAAGGCCAACAATATCTAATGGAGGAATGCTTCAACAACAGGGGAAAACACTTCATTGTAGTCGATTCCCTCCTTTTGAGCGTAGCCTTTAGCTACAACCGTGCCTTGTAGCGAACATCTTTCTTGTTATGAGATCCATCTTTCTTTACAATACCCACTTGCATCCAATGGCTCTTTTCCTTTCGGTAATTGTGCCAGTTTCCAAGTGTCGTTCTTTTGGAGAGATTGCATTTCTTCATCCATGTCACTTTTCACTTTCACTTCCAAGCTTTGTATTGCTTCTTTGGTAAGTGATAGGGATATCATCATCACTGGAAGAGCATAGGCCACCATATCAACAAATCGAGCAGGTCTACGAATTTCTCTCCTTGGCCTTATAACTGCAAGTGTTTCTGGTGTCCAATGGTTCTGGGTTTGAACCTCTCATCTTCTGATTCTTTTATTGGAGTGAAGATCAGCTGCATCAACTTCTAGGATCATTCGCTGAACTCCACCTGTTTTGGAGTATGCTCCACCTGTGCGGATAAGACACTTGTTACCTTCTTTACTAGGGCGCAATCTGCAAATATCTTCTTGGTGTCTAAACACCAAAGGTGAAATCCCTTCACTCCATGGTGATTCCCATAAAGAGAGCCTTCTTTGCTCTCAGATCAAGTTGGATTCACACATGATAATAAGCAGCGGATCAAATACATGTAAGGAATCATAATCGTAGCAGGTTTCCAGACCATACCTCCAATGGTGTGTTTTCTTAATATCGCTGATGACGGCAGACGATTAATGAGATGGCCGCATATGTCACAGCCTCAGCCCA